GTTAGTGGCTTGTTAATATACGAATGTAGGAATACTATTTTTAAACCAAACATCTCAAATATTTTTTATTTATTGATAGTTATAGATGATATACAGGGTGTCCCGAAATTAGACGGTCATATTTTAACACCGTAATCTACATCCTAAAATAGTAGTAAAAGTTCACATAAACTTAGGTCCGAAAACGTTTCTTTTCCGAGATACAGTGTGTTAAAGGTGAAGACCTGATACCACACTTTTGTAAATATTTTCTAAACGTTTAAAGATAATTAGGTAAAATTTGTTACAAATACTTACCTTTTTACGCTTCATTTATTGGACTAAATTCCAGTTATTGATCATCTTCTTAGGTGGGTAAATTAGGGGGAGCTTAGGGTAAAATTGCCGTGTGTATCTGTATGTCTAAATCAACCATAACTCATGAACCGATACACAGAAAAACACTAAATTTTAAACTTAAGTTTTATTTCGGCCTGACGTGAAATAATTAGATTTTGGAAAAAGTCGGAACATCTGGGAGGGTACTTTATGGGAGGCCGTTTCTATATTTTATTGAATATATCTGTTATTTATGTTTGGAGAAGAAAATTATTCAAATAAAAGTTACTTCTAATATTATTATCTATAATTTTTGCTTTATGTCAAAATTTCCTGAAATGGTCCGTATTCGAGAAATTTGACAAAATGTGCAAAATTCTAAACTAAACTAAAAGTTGTTTGCGATATCGATCTCTATAATTTTTGTTTATACATGATTTTTCTAAAATGGACCGTAATGGAAAAATTGTAGGAAAATTGCTAAATTTAAATTTTTCAGTATTTTCGTTTTCAATGAATAACTATAGAAATATTTCTAGGTAGATAGATGTATGTGGAAAATGTAAATATTTAGTTTATCCTCTAAATATTTATAGAGGTACTGCAATAAGTTGTACAAAATAACCAGAAAAAGCCTATAATAACTAGATAGGAAAGTCATGTGTTGGACACATCACATTTGTTGACTATAAAATTTGGAAAACCAATATTTTCTGTATAATAAAGCTACATTTGTTGCATCTCGCTAGGACGCGCCATTCTCAAGAGAAAAGCATGTTACCTTATTCGAAAGTGTAAACAATAATTGGTAGGTCTGTAGAATTAGAAATTTTATTTTTTTTTAACTTTGAAAAATAAATTTTAGAAAATATTTCATCTGGACTTCACTTGTAACACCCTGTATCTCGAAAACGAAACGTTTTCGGATCTATGTTTATATAAACTTTTACTCCTATTTTTAACCGACTTCATAAAAGGAGGAGGGAGGTTCTCAATCCTTCGCAATATTTTTTTTATTTTTTTTATGTATGTTCAGCGATAATTCTTTAACAAGGTGTCCGATTTCAATGATTCTTTTTTTGTTAGAAAGGGGGTACTTCAGGGGTGGTTCCATATAAATTTGGTCAAAATCTAATAATTGGGCCCATGAGAAAATTCTCAAACTCTTAATTTTTTATGAATGTTTAGCGATAATGCTTTACCACCTTGTCCGATTTATATGATTCTTTTTTTAGTAGTAAGGGGGTACCTCAGGGGTGATCCTATATAAATTTGGTTAAGATGTGGTGACGGCATCTGCACGTTTTTGAATTCGGTTTTTTTTAATTTTTAATTTCTAATGCTTGTAGGATGTAGATTACGCTGTTAAAATGTGACCGTCTAATTTCGGGACACCCTGTATATTGGAAGAAATTCGAAATAATAGTTATGACGTAGTGGTGTTTTTCTAATTGTAATCGGACCCTAGGTATATGGATACGGAAAGTGATGAATTGGAAATAGGTAAATTGTATTTATTGTATTAAAGGAACAACAAATATAAGTACAATTAAATAAGTATATTAATATAACAATTTTTTAAAGTTTATATTAAAAAAAAAATTTTTCACATAGATTATTAAATTAAAAAAATAACTATTAAAACAAGAAATGTTAATTTTTTCTCTTTTACAACACAAAATATACAATACTGTTGAATCAACATTTTCTCTTGGCAGCAGGTATTAATTAAAGTTAATTTTCTTTCAATCTTAAGGTGTGTCGGACAAGAATATCTCAAAATATTTAAATTTTGGCAAAATAAATTAGGCAATAATATCTATAATATGCATATATTTTAATGTTTTAATTCCTTCCAGTTTCCCAAAAAAACTAAAAGGGCTTTAATTTTAAAATATCATAATGAAAATAAATGCATTCCTCGACAGCACTATTCTTAATATAATCCCCAAATTTAAGCCCCTAATGTCTTGTTAATGATTTCTTAAAATTCGCCAAAATTAGTGGCTAAAACGCTTCGTTAAGTGCTATCTTTTGGTGTAAACTGGTGTAAATTATTGCAAGAAACGAATAATGACAGAGTGTACGATAAGATAGTTACAAGCCCGTTACACTGTTTTCCACTCAATTTATAAAAAAAAAAAAAATAAATTAGGGTGTTAATTTTTTTTCTCTGAAGCTATTGGTTTTGGGAAAAAAATTCAAGAATAAAAAAAAATTAAATAAATCCAGGATTTCATAAAAGTTCATCTCGAAAAAAAGGTTTGATATGAAATAAAGTAAGTGTTGCTAATTTCACCCCCCTATAATGTAATAGAAATATTGAAAAAATACCCGTGGTTAGTCCTTTGCGATTACAGAATTTCAAGTTTCTAGCTTTACTGAAATTTTAGAAAAAAAATAAAAACTCAATTTTAGTCACCACTTTTTCTCGAAAAGGGTTGGGCTGAGGAAATTTTGTTATAGGAAAGACCCATCTTAATTTCATACGAGCAATTAGTTCCTGAATTTTGTTGCATGTATTTAGAAACACCCTGTATATTACACATTTTTTTAAGCGTGCAAAATTCTTGACAATCTCTTTTCCCTAATTGGCACATGTCGTATTTTTCTAGGATTTACTAACTCTGGCAGCAAACAAATAAAATAGAAATTTGTCAGCTGTGCATTTTTGCCTTCCAGAATTTTTCATTTCATAAATTAACTAAAAACTAAATTAAACAAAAACCTAACAACGCCTCAACAACAAACTAAGACGATCACAATAATTTCGCACCTCTTCAAAAACAACTACCTATTTTTCGACACAGGAATTAACAAATTTAACTAAACAGCAGCTACCCCTTTAACCACAAGCTTCAAAGACTAGCAGCGTTGCCATATTCACTGGTATCATTGTTTTAATAGAATTAGTATCGGAATGAAAACTATGTTAATCTTCGGTCCTGTTTAAAATTGGTAATCTTTTTGAAAAAAAAGTTATTAGAAAATAGTTAAGATATTTGTTATAGAATGACGCTAAAGAGCCAAAAAATTAAATTTGTTAAAAAGTTGAAATTTTTGTTGTTTTTCTTTAAAAATATAAGTTTTTCGCGGTTTAGCGAAATTCTTGGTTCATTTTTACAACGATTGGCCTGAACCATTTTTTTTTACAATTTTTTTTAACTGCCTCAAATGTAAAATTGATTTTTGGCGGAGGAGCGCCCGTCGTATTTGCTCTTAATTATAATGTTTATTTGCCAGAAAAAAAAAATAGGTAGTACAATACGAAAGTTTACACCAACACCAACAATCGGCAAATATTAGGTATTGTGTGGATCAAATAATGCGTCAAAAAAATTATAGAGTTGGCACAGATAGTTTGTAATTGTATTAAGCGTGCGAAGAGGAACGTCACTGTATTCTTCAACTCATAATGACTAAAATCGATGAATAATATTATGAAGCGTACACATAGGAATTACTGGATTTACGGCCGCTACAAGGGACAACTACTGGAAAAGTACTTTTGAGCAATATGGTTTGCAGTGGTGTAAATAGAGTGTGCACGGATGGTGCGCCTTCAATGGTCGATTCACGAAAAGGTTTTATTGGAATTCTGCATTGCATTATTCACCAACAAAACTTGTGCTCTAATTCATTCGATTGAAGAATGATATGGTTGTGGTAGTATATAGAATTAATTTCATTAAATCCCGCAGTCTTAACCATCGCCAGTTTAAGGCATTTTTGGATTAACTTTCGTCGGAACACGATAATGTGACATATTACTGCGAAGTAAAGTGGCCAAGTAAAGGTAAAATGCTAAAAAGATTTTATGACCTTAGAAAAGAAATAGCTGATTTTATGGAACTAAAAGAGAAAACATTGCCGCAAATTTGTGAACTAACTTGGCTTTGTGACTTGGCATTCCTGGTAGACATCACATGATATTTAAACGACCTGAACTTAAAGCTTCAAAAACAAGGGCAATTATTGGTAAATCAGCTGTACAGTCATCTTATAGCTTTTCAAAACAAAATTTTCTTGTGGGAAACACAAATGAGAAGAACATTATGCAGCCACGAAAACATTGAATACGATCGTTAAGCTGAAGAATTAAAACTGCTGTCCGAGCAATTTACTGATCGATTTTCCGATTTTAAGAATATGGATAGACTTTCAATATTTTTACAATAAGTGTTGTAATGATTACAACTTAAAGAAGCCCCAAAACCTTTTTTTGGCCAAGTACTGTCAAGGTGGAGGCCATTAAAACAAGAAGAAGAAGAAGACTCTTACGACGAGCAACAAAACAAGGAAAAAATGTCTTCACTAACTGCTACCATTACTACTTACACACATGTAGAGTACGAAAAACATGGCGGACAATTTAAGTAAATAGTTTAATAGGTCTTTTTATAGTTTTTCGGGCACTTTACACGTGTAAAAGCAGCGAATACAATATGTTTGTCCTTGTTGCTCTTGATGAAAATGCCCGAAACTTTCATATTATGTGCATACGCACAACGGATTGTTAAAAGGCCTATTTAATAACCCAATTTAAAATATAACAGGTATATAAATAATACACAAATGCCAAAATAAGCATTTATTAAAAAACTTAAAAAAAGAACAAACAAAATATGACTTTCTGCATTTTAAACCACACTAAACTATCAAAAATAAAACAATATTAATGCTTATTGCAACAGCTCAAAAATCTCTAAAATATTAGCATCATTAACATCACACGCGTACACTTCTTTGGAATTAAATTTTTTAAACATTTGCTCAGTAGAACAAACATTTTTGCAACAAACGTTTTTAGAATACAAATCTAACCTAAATCTTAAAATTGCGTTCAACATCTTTATCTGCATTCCATTTCTGCACTTTGGTTTCACAGCCGCCATTACTGAGAACGCTCTTTCGACTGCAGCATTACTCGAAGGTAGCGTCAAGCAAGTTAAGGCATAGTTTGAAAGCTCTGAAAATACGTAATTGTTCCCCGCGTCTTTATATTCTGATACTTTAGACCAAATGGAATAATTATTTTCAAGTATTGAACTGTCAAAAAATTGTGCCCACTCTACTGTTGTTAGTTTATCCCACTGAATATCACATTTTGAATAAGATTCGGTACTTATAAAAATATTATTAAAAGGAAGGTCTTTCAACTTATGTCTCATCATATTATTCAGGCACATATTGGGAGCTAAAAGTTGCAATCCTTTAAATAATTTTAAGTTGCCTGGCAACCTTTTGGAAAACTCTTGTAAAAGAACTTTTAAATACCTAAATGCTCTATCTTCAAGGGTATTTTTTTGTCATGGTCAAGTTCACGACTATAAAGAGTTGTAAAGTAATCGACTCCATAGTCGCAATTATTGGGAGTTAGATATGCAAGTTCATTGTCAATATTTGCCAATACAATATCTATACTATATTATTTGTTGAAACAAAATTTTGAGTCATTACTTTTTTAGCAATAATTAATATAGTGCTGCATAAATCGCTATATGCATGACCAATATTGACGTTGTTTTCTTGAAATGTAATGTTCAAATGGTTGATCTCAAAGAGTATTGGTTTTAAAATAAGAAAAAAAAAATAATTTGAATCATCATTCAGCATTTCACTTAATACCCTGGCAGTGTAATATTTTTCTGTGTTTACTATCATTGAAAAATGAGTTTTCAACTCCAGCCAGTGCTCCAAGATAATCTTTATCACATTGTACCTGCAACAAGTTTAGTCAATAGTGCTCATTGACTGAAGTTCTAAAAACATACCTGGAAAGCCACCTTATTGGAGTCAGTTGTACAAACTCATGAAAAGTATGATTTTCATTAATATTAATCAGGTCCCATGTCTTCCTATAATCAACTTTTCGATTTGGGCTATGTTGAAACCAATTAAAAATCTCACGGAAGAGAAAGTCCAGATTAGCTGGGAGCTTTTCTGCAGCTCTAGAACTAGCATTGTTTAGGGAATGACAGACACATCTGACCAGTTGTAGTTTATCATTATTTTCATTCAGTAGTGTGTACACAGAATGATGTTGTCCACATAAACTGTTGGCCCCATCTGTTCCTAAGCCAATCATATTTTTTATGTTTATTTTATTATTCAAGCAAAAATCAGCTATACACTTATGTAACAAATTTGCTGTTCCATTTTCCAGAGTTAATATACATAAGAAATTAGTTTTGACATGTTTCTCAGTCTTACTATAGTATTTTACACAAATGCATAGATATTTTACTGTTGACTTGTCTGTAAATTCATCAATAATAAAGGAGAATGGTATGTCTTGAAGATCATTCACGAGTTCTTCGAATAAACAAGGAGCAATAACATTCTTTATTAATCCCGAACATTTTGTTCGATGTAATTTTAAATTTTTCTTGCACGTTTATGATATAACCTCGCACAAGTGATCCACACTACGAACAGCTGTATGGGTTGCTATATACACTGCTAATTTTAAATCTCGTTCTTTCTCCTCATTAGTTATGTTTACTGTGACAAATTGTTCCAAAGTTTTTTTACCTGGATCTAAACGATGACAATTTTGGATATGTTTCCTCGTAGTGGCATGTTTTTTCAAATCACCGTGATGAGCCCGTAAATCTATTTTGCACACCTTGCAATATGCTTCATTTAAAGAAGAAGTGTTTTCGGAATCTAATGCTTGTCGTAGCCACCCTAAAAACGTACTTTATTACAAGCAAATTGTTTTAAATATTCGGCACTAACCACGAGCCCACTCTTCCCTTTCCCATGATTTAAGGTACTTTTTCTTGTATATTGCCTACTTTCCCCATAATAATACCTTGAAATCGTGTATTATTAAACTAAGTTGTTGTTGAATAGGTAACAAAGATCTTTCGTAACTTTAAAATACAACACCCGTTTTCCCGTTTTTTTTTACTTTTCACATTCTAATTTTTGTACAAGCACGGAAAGCCGGAAAGCACGTTGTGATAAGATAGTAAGGTTATGGTTAAAATAAGGTTAGGTTGCGGGTTGCGGTGTGGCGTGTGGCTGTGGTAGAGCATAGGTAGAGCAACAGAAACCAGAACTGACAACTGACAATCGAACGATGTTTCGTTAAAAAAAAAAAAACAAAAAATACTGAAATGTTCAAATGTTGTAACGGTTTTAATCGAACGTTATGCCTTATCGCCTATTTCTGTCTCAAAACTAGCAGAGAATTAACTTATAATCTAGAAATTACCTTGAATATGCTCCTGTCGTAAAACTTTATTATATTTTCGAGAAAACACAGCTTTTATTCAAATGGGATTTAGCGTAACTGGTGTAAATGTTCCTTCTTAGGGCTCACATAATTTTTACAAGGCTACACTGAATTTCACTATGATTTTCAATAGTAGTTTTCACTCATAAAGATATTGTTTACAATAACCTCTGTATTTTGTTGATTTTATTCAAAAGGAATTTAGCGTAACTGGGGTAAATGTTCCTCCTTAGGGCTCACATAATTTTTACAAGGTTACACTGAATTTCACTATGATTTTCAATAATACTTTTCACTCTTAGAGGTATTGTTTACAATGTTCTTGGTATTTTGTAGGTTAAAACTGATGTCGGATATCATTGCTGAATAATGAGGTATGCGTGTCGCATTTCGAGATGTCTATCTTTGTTCGATAAGTGATTCTTGGGAAATGCCTCTCTCTCTCTCTCTCTCTACTTGACGGAGGATCAAGCAATGACATTTGGATCAAGGGACGACGTATGTCTGGCCACGATTCATACGCCTGCGATTCGTGAACTAAGGAGTGCTCGTTAAGCGATGTTTGCATTTCATGGGCATGTTTTTGGGTTTTCTTATTGGTCGAGCAGTGCTAACAGAGCTATCAGCCTGAATGCGAATGGTCGCATTCTAACGGGTGTGAAGTTATCCACATCCACAAATGTACACTGAGAAAAATATAACTCTATGGTAATAGTCATATAACTTGGTTCAAATTACCTGAAGAGGCTTTTCATTTGTAGATTTCAATTGGGGAGGTTTCAATACACAGCAACCATACCCGCAATTAACTTTTACTTTGTCTCAGGGGGTGCAATTGGGGGTGAAATTTAAAAAAAAATCATAGAAGCCACAAATGGCTTTGTACACCTTTCTGCTTGAGATATGTTATGTAGTTTACTCTTTTCTTCATCCCTGATACCATGCTGGAGTTTGTCGAGCCGTCTGAGGGGGGTGCAATTGGGGATGAAATTAAAAAAAAAACATAAAAGCCACAAATAGCTTTGTACACCTTTCTGCTTGGGATATGTTATGTAATTTTCTCTTTTTTTCATCCATGATAGCATGTTGGAGTTTGTCGAGCCGTCTGAGGGGGTGCATTTGGGGGTGAAATAAAATAATCATAGAAGCCACAAATGGCTTTGTACACCTTTCTGCTTGGGATATGTTATGTAGTTTGCTCTTTTCTTTATCCCAGATAGCATGCTGGAGTTTGCCGAGCCGTCTGAGGGGGTGCAATTGGGGATGAAATTAAACAAAAAATCACAGAAACCACAAATGGCTTTGTACACCTTTTTACTTGAGATATGTTATGAAGATAGCTATTTTCTTTATGCCTGATACCATGCTGGAGTTTGTCGAGCCGTCTGAGGGGGTGCAATTGGGGGTGAAATTAAACAAAAAAATCATAGATGCCACAAATAACTTTGTTCACCTTTTTGCTTGCGATAAGTTATCTAGTTGCCTCTTTTCTTCATCCCAGATACCATGCTTGAGTTTGTCAAGCCGTCTGAGGGGTGAAATTGGGGATGAAATTAAAAAAAACATAGAAGTTACAAATGGCTTTGTACACCTTTTGGCTTGGGATATGTTATGTAGTTTACTCTTTTCTTTATCCCTGATACCATGCTGGAGTTTATCAAGCCGTCTGAAGGGGTGCTATTAGGGGTGAAATAGAAAAAATCATAGAAGCCACAAATGGTTCTGTACACCTTTCTGCTTGGGATATGTTAAGTACTTTGCTCTGTTCTGCATCCCAGATACCATGCTGGAGTTTGTCGAGCCTTCTGAGGGGGTGCAATTGTGGGTAAAAATAAACAAAATATCATAGAAGCAACAAAGAAAAGAGCCAACTAGATAATATATCACAAGCAGAAAGGTGTACAAAGCCATTTGTGGCTTCTATGGTTTTTTTATTTCACCCCCAATTGCACCCCCTCAGACGGCTCGACAAACTCCAGCATGGTATCTGGAATGAAGAAAGGGGCAAACTGCATATCATATCGCATGCAGAAAGGTGTACAAAGCCATTTGTGACTTCTTTAATTTTTTTTATTTCACCCCCAATTGCACCCCCTCAGACGGCTCGACAAACTCCAGCATGGTATTAGGCATAAAGAAAATAGCTATCTTCATAACATATCTCAAGTAAAAAGGTGTACAAAGCCATTTGTGGCTTCTGTGATTTTTTGTTTAATTTCATCCCCAATTGCACCCCCTCAGACGGCTCGACAAACTCCAGCATGCTACCAGGGATGAAGAAAAGAGCAAACTACATAACATATCCCAAGCAGAAAGGTGTACAAAGCCATTTGTGGCTTCTATGATTTTTTGTTTAATTTGACCCCCAATTGCACCCCCTCAGACGGCTCGACAAACTCCAGCATGGTATTAGGCATAAAGAAAATAGCTATCTTCATAACATATCTCAAGTAAAAAGGTGTACAAAGCCATTTGTGGCTTCTGTGGTTTTTTTTTTAATTTCATCCCCAATTGCACCCCCTCAGACGGCTCGACAAACTCCAGCATACTATCAGGGATGAAGAAAAGAGTAAACTACATAACATATCCCAAGCAGAAAGGTGTACAAAGTTATTTGTGGTTTCTGTGATTTTTTGTTTAATTTCACCCCCAATTGCACCCTCTCAGACGGCTCGACAAACTCCAGCATGGTATTAGGCATAAATAAAATAGCTATCTTCATAACATATCTCAAGTAAAAAGGTGTACAAAGCCATTTGTGGCTTCTGTGGTTTTTTTTTTTAATTTCATCCCCAATTGCACCCCCTCAGACGGCTCGACAAACTCCAGCATACTATCAGGGATGAAGAAAAGAGTAAACTACAGATCATATCCCAAGCAGAAAGGTGTACAAAGCCATTTGTGGCGTCTATGATTTTTTTTTAAATTTCATCCCCAATTGCACTC